CTTTCCATTTTAAAATGTTGAGAAGATCAGCTTCATGAATGTCCTATTGTCTCATCTAGTTCACTTAGCATTAAGCAACAGTTCCCTATGAAACCCACCCCCCGCTTAAATCTTTCCATACCGTATGAGTCATAGCCTCTGTAGGAAACCTGTCCATACACCTTAACAGGAAAAGGGAGCCATAGACAAATATGTTGCATGGACTAACCAGTATGTTGTGGAAACAGGAACCAATGCATTTGTGGGATATATTTTGCCTGAAACAAGACTTTGAAAGAACAAAATGTCTGAGTCATATCTCATCAACCCAATTTCCTTGGAAGAAGACGAATACAAGGAATAAGTTCACAGCACATTTATGGCCACAGTAATAATGAGTCTCACAGATAAATTTACAATGCATGGAACACCATATGCCAACTTGGCCATTTGAGTCTGTAACGACTTTGCCGATTTTCATGGCAACAACCTCCCTCAATATGTTCAATAAATTATGTGAACTAATTATCTCTTTTGAGCCACAAGCTTTGCCAGAAAATGTTTGCAAAGAACTTGGGGGCTTTTCATGCAAATGGAACAGACTGGAGTTCGTGAGTCCTGCTGGAAACGTGAAAGAAGCCAGATAACAGAACAACCTTTGAGCATGGTGGTGAAAAAGATCTCCACCATGGCCACTTGCAGTGCTTTCTGTTATATAAAGTCACCCAGAGCTTGGCCGTCCCAAACCAATATGGCTGTTTGGGACAGATTCTTGCACAATGCATATATAAATGGAATATTTATTCAGAAGCATATAAATAAATAATAGGCACTGTAATTCACTTTGCTGATTCAAACTGGCTGACATTGATGGACACTGAATAATTCTTAAAATGTTCAAAGATAATTCACATGAAAGCAGTAAGCCATCTTATTGTAACTGTAAGATTTAGCTGAACATGTTGCCAAACACAATGGGCAATAGCCAAAGGTGTAGTTCTCCTGCTTTCCTCTCCATACTACAGCTACTCCATTACTACAGAGTCAGCATGGTTATAGTGGTTAACTCTAATCTGGAGAACCAGGTTTGATTTCCCACTCCTCCACATGAAGCCAGCTGGGTGACTTTGGGTCAGTCACAGTTCTCTCAGAACTCTCTCAGCCCTACCTACCAACTCCTCCTCCTCCTCCTCCTCCTCCTCCTCCTGACCTCTGGAGGAATCAGTCCCAAGACTGCAGGAGCCTGCACAGGTTGGGAGTGGGGGGCTGGAGTGAGGAGGACAAGGCGTTGAAATTTCCCTGTTCAGCGCACACAGCTCAACTGGAGGGGGGATTCCAATCCCTTGTGTGTCCCCCCCCCCACAGCTGTTTCTCTGCAAATTCTGTGATTCTGGGAGTGATAGTTCCAGGGGTTGGAAGAAGGTACAGCAAAGGAAACTGTGGGAAACATGAGAAAACTCTCTGTGCCTTTTATAAATGGATGGTACGATACTGCCAATGTTGCATTTTCTTATTTGTATATTATTATTAAACATTGTATAATATCCAGCCCTGATAAAGGGCCAGGGAGAAAGGTGGTCATCCGGGCTACTTCACCTTCACACATAGTTCCATAGAAAGGGGGAGGAAACAATCTTTATTGATCCTTAGAATTAGAATTGCCATTTTTGTACTGGACCTTCTATTCTGGATTCTATAGCAGATGACAATAAGCCCATGAAGACGTTTGTGCCATAAAGACAAGTGGTCAGTTTTCCTAATCAAGAAAAAATCACCAATTAATAGCAAGAGGTATTCCTGCCCTGCCTTTCATTCTGTGATCACGAGAAAAAAGTTAAGTAGTATTAAGAAGCCCCAAAGATTTTGTTAGCCTTCAAAGCAAAAAAGATGGTCAAATGTGTTTTCAAATGTTAGAACTGCACAGGAAGAAACATCTGCCCCTCCATGGCCTATTCCAAATTGGACCCCAAGTAGCTTCTATCAGCAGTCTAAAATGCTGGTAACATCCAGTCATGGATCTCATCATTTGAGCTATATTCTGCCAAATAAAAATAAGTCCAAGTCCGATGATGCAAGCAAAGAAAATATGTATATTTGATCACTCAGCTAAAAAATTCCACCCACAGGCTTCTTCAAGGGAATTGGTAATATAATATAAATAAAATACTCTATATTTTGATAAGGACAGATCTAGCAATTTTACTTAATGGTTTGATATTACAATGTACAAATTGCAATTTGTTTTTAAAGGGATCTTATTTATTTATTCAATTTTAACTAAATAACCATTGTTACTCATGGGCACTCAATGAAATTGCTGAGCAGTTGGGTTAGAATGGATAAAAGGAAATACTTCTTCACCCAAACAGTGATTAACACATGGAACACATGGAATTCACTGCAACAGGAGGTGGTGGCAGCTACAAGCATGGACGGCTTCAAGAGGGAATTGGATAAACACATGGAGTAGAGATCCATCAGTGGCTATTAGCCACAAGGTATAGATAGGAACTCTCGGTCTAGGGCAAGTGATGCTCTGTATTCTTGGTTCTTGGGGGAGGGGGAAACAGTGGGAGGACTTCTAGTGTCTGGCCCCACTGCTGGACCTCTTGATGCTGGTATTTTTGGCCACTGTGTAACAGTGCTGGATTGTATGGGCCATTGGCCTGATCCGACATTGGCTTCTTTTATGTTCTCTTATGTTCTTATATAATTATGAGAACTCAGTACTACATTTATATTATTTTACAGATTCACCTGAAGAAAGGTTGTTGATGAAGCATGTAGGGAATTTTTTAGATGAGTAATAAAATATGTTTTTTCCTTTTGTTATGTCCGCTGACCGCCACCAGGGGCCAGCGAATACCCCAGAGCTTGACTCTGTAAGAACAATGGGGACTAGGCTCCTAGTCTCTCCACTTGGGAACCAATAGGACCATGGCGGGAGATTTAAACCCAGCAACGGGACCTAGGGGTGTGTCCCCAGGTGTGTATATAGTTGGCCAGCCAGCCGTTAGTCTTTGTCTTTGTTGTGTACCAGTAAACCATGCTGATCACTACATCAGTCTCAGTGGTTTCTACATGCGTCTAACCCACTACACTTCAATGGCGACGAGGATGGGATCCCGCTGAACAAGCCAGCCGGGCTGTCAGACTCTGCAAGGGAAGACAACGCACCACTACCTAAGCTCTTTGAGCGATGAGCAAGGAGGGTGAGCAAGCCGCTTCCCAGCTGCAGCAGCAACCGATCGGCACAATGGCTGTTGCTCTGGGGTCAGGGCTTGTACCGCCATTTGATACAGCCCGTCCACAGCAATGGGGAGCCTGGATCACTGGCCTGAAGTCAGTCCTGGTATTCTACCAGGTGACGGAGGAGGCCTCCTACTCGGGTCATGTGGACCCGCCATTGTAGAACTGGCCCAGTACCTCCTCTTCCCTAGGAAGCTCGATGACTGCACCTTTGACAAAATTGTCACGGCCGTCCAGAACCACTACACGCCGAAGCCTTCGGAGATGATGTGCCACGTGGTGTTCCACCAACGGAGTCAGCAAAACCACGAAACTGCCGTGGAGTTCCTTGTGGAGCTCCGCCACTTGGCCTCCGAGTGCAAATTCAGGGCACATTTGGACCTGGCCCTTAGAGACTGTTTCGTCACAGGACTACGGGAGAAGAAACTGCGGCGACGCATAATGGAGGGTGAGATGGTCACCATAGCATCGGCCACCGCGTGGGAGAGGTCCCACCCTGCAGCCTCCACCACGCACCAGGCTGCCATCACCATCCTGGCAGACCTCGATGGCGCAGAGGTCCACCGCACACAAGCACCACACTGCACTCCAGCCGTGAACGCTAGCTCCGCCTGCAAGCATCCCAGCACAGCAGCTCCAGTGTGTGCCAGTTGTGGTTACCGGCATGATAGGAAAACATGTAGGTTCTGAGACGCTGTTTGTCGGAACTGTGGGCGCACTTGGCCATATCGCCCAGGCCTGTTGCTCCAAAGCTACCAGCCAGACCCAGCCACCGTGTCACAGAGCAGAAGCCCACTTCAAGGACAATGCAGCAGCTGAGGACCTCTACCACCTCACACATACAGCGGAAAAGGTACCGCAACTCCCTGGCAAATTGCCCACCCCTAAAATTCTAGCCACTGTAACAATTGAGGGGTCCCCATGCCTTATGGAGATAGACTCTGACTCCATGGCCGCAATCATTTCTGAGGCCATGCTTAAACGCTTATGCCCAAAGGGGGGACCCCGCTTACACCCATCCCCGGTGATGCTCATGGACTTTCAGTGAAACCAGGTGCTGATTAAGGGGGTCAGGACTTTTCGAGTACAATACAGGAAATTCAAGAGCCGTCTGAACTTGATCGTGGTAGAGGGCGACCTGGTCAGCTTGCTGGGTCGTGCCTGTTTTGAGCCCCTGGGGATTTCAGTCGAGGGAGTCCAGTTTTGTACAACCCAGGATATCAAAGGGATATGCCGGGAGTTTCCCACCATTTTCAATGACTCTCTGGGCCATTATACGGGGCCACCGGTGTCCCTGCGTCTAGACCCCAAGGTGGCCCCTATCCGAATGCGTGCCAGGACGGTTCTGTTGGCGGTCAAGCCTAAAATTGACGCAGAACTGGATCACCTAGTAGCCCAAGGCAGTCTGGAACCAGTCTCCCACGCGGCGTAGGAAACGCCCACAGTAGTGGTAGAAAAGCCGAATGGGGCAGTCCGCATCTGCGCGGACTACAAATGTATGCTGAATAAGGCGCTACAGGACCACGCATACTCGGTACCTGTGGTTAGCCACGTACTGGCCACCTTGGGGGAAGGCAAAGATATTTGAGAAACTTGATCTTGCCCAGGCTTACCAGCAGTTGCCGGTTGATGAGGCAACTGCAGAGGCGCAAACTATTGTGACCCACCGGGAGGCATTCCATGTCAAGAGACTGCAATTCGGGGTGAGTGTGGCACCAGGGTTATTCCAACAACTGATGGACTCTCTTCTCAAAGGAATACCCAGCGTCACCCCATTTTTTGATGATGTGATGATTACCGCTGCCACACTGGCCAACTTTGCAGACCGCCTCCGCACTGTTCTCCGCCGTTTCCAGGACGCCGGACTCAAAGTTAAACTAGAGAAGTGTCGGCTGGGGGTGCCATCAGTGGACTTTCTGGGGTTCACGGTGGATGCAGAGGGCCTACACCCGACCCGAGACAAGGTTAAGGCAATCATGGAAGCCCTGCCACTGAAATCTAAAACAGAACTACAAGCGTTTTTAGGGATTCTCAATTTCTACCACGCCTTTCTTCCACACAAGGTGGCAGTAGCGGAGCCCCTCCATCGCTTGCTAGACAAGCAGGCCCCTTGGGTGTGGGGGCCCCACCAAGCTGCTGCGTTCCAGAATGTTAAAGAACTGTTGATCTCCAACTCGGTTCTGGCCCACTTCGATGAGACGCTACCGGTAGTTTTGGCATGCAACGCCTCACCCTACGGCGTCGGTGCCGTGCTGGCGCGTCGTCTCCCAGATGGGTGAGAGGTTCCAGTCGCGTATTACTCGTGCACCCTATGTGTGGCTGAGTGGAACTATGCCCAGATAGATCAGGAGGGACTAGCCATAGTGGCTGGGGTTGAGAAGTTCCATGACTTCGTCTACGGCCGGCCGTTCACCATTGCCACAGACCACCACCTGTTCCTCGGCCTTTTTGAGCCCAATCGCAGGACGCCGCAAGTCCTCTCTCCGCGGGTCTTGTGGTGGTCCATTTTCCTTGCGGGCTATGATTATCAGCTACAACACCGCCCGGGGAAAGCTATGGGCCATGCCGACGCCCCTAGCCTTTCCCCCCTGCCAGACGTGGTTGAGGATCCAGCCCCTGTGCACCTGGTCCTCCAGCTGGAGGGCCTACCAGATGCCCCGCTGCAGGCCGCGGACATTGCCCACCGCTCGGCTCGGGACCCCATCATATCCCGGGGGCTGGGCTGGGTGGTGAGGGGGTGGCCTGCGAAGATAGAGGCCCCAAAGTTCATGGCGTTTATGGCCTGCTGGGAGGAGTTGTCAGCGCACAAAGGCTGCCTGCTGTGGGGAGACAGAGTCGTGGTCCCCAGCGCCCTCCGACAAAAGGTTCTCCAGGCCCTTCATGAAGCGCACCTGGGCATCATTAGGATGAAAGGCCTCGCCTGGAGCTACGTCTGGTGGCCACGCATCGACGCAGAGGTAGAGGTTTGGGTGAAACGTTGCCCGACCTGCCAAGCCATCCGACACAGCCCACCGGGTGTGCCGTCCCAGTCATGGGAATCCACACAAACCCCGTGGTACCGGCTCCACATAGACTTCGCCGGACCATTCCATGGACTGGTATTCCTTGTGACTGTGGTTTCCTCCTCAAAGTGGCTGGAGATAAGCTCCGTCTCTGCAACATCCACAAAGGCCACCATCCACGCCCTCCATAAGATCTTCACCACCCATGGGCTGCCAGACACCATCGTCTCGGACAATGGGACGGCGTTTATGTCAGAGGAATTCCAGCAGTTTCTCAGCAACAACCTGATCAAACACATCAGGTTGGCGCCATTCCACCCCGCTACTATCGGCCAAGCGGAACGCATGGTCCAGACGGCAAAGGAAGTGTTAAGCTGCCTGATGGAAGGAGACTGGGAATTTTGCATCGCCCACTTCCTCCTAATGCAAGGAACAACGCCAAACCCCATAAGCGGTCGCTGCCCAGCGGAACTCCTCATGGGTCAGAGACCAACAATCCTCCTGGACCGCCTACACCCTGACCGGGCTCCTAAGCCACGGAACTTCTCAGAACAGCGGGAAGCACCTCATGGGTTCTTCCCAGAGGACCCGGTCTTCGCCTGAAACTTCGGAAGGGACCCAGAATGGATTGCCAGCCGCATCATTCGTCCCACTGGCACCGTTGTGTACGATGTGTCAACAGAATGTGGGCAGGTCCTGCGGAGTCACATGAACCAACTCAGTCGGCGCATGCTCCCAGAACACCCAAGCATGGAGGTTCCTGAACAACAGGAAAACCCAGAGGTGAGCCCCCCAGATGCCCCAGTGCAGGACCTCCCCACTGAAGAGCATCAGAACTTTTCCCCAGTCACCCGGCGGCTGCCAAGGAGGGCCCGACAACCGACGCTTCTGAGCCAGAGGTGTCTGCACCCCTAGTGCATCCCAGCACAGCAGACGGGGCCCCGGAGGTCCCAGTACCGCCCCCCTGATGGTCCACTAGAGAATGGCGGTCCCCATCATACTTAAAGGACTATGTGACCTAGGGTGGGTCCGAACTATGGGGGGAGGGATGTTATGTCTGCTGACCGCCACCAGGGGCCAGCGAATACCCCAGAGCTTGACTCTGTAAGAACAATGGGGACTAGGCTCCTAGTCTCTCCACTTGGGAACCATGGCAGGAGATTTAAATCCACCAACGGGACCTAGGGGTGTGTCCCCAGGTGTGTATATAGTTGGCCAGCCGGCTCGTTAGTCTTTGTCTTTGTTGTGTACTAGTAAACCATGCTGATCACTACATCAGTCTCAGTGGTTTCTACATGCATCTAACCCACTACACTTCACCTTTACTTAGAGAATTACTTGTCCTTGTTTTTATCTCTTGCTGACTGGTGCAGGCCCTTTATTTTCTCCCCGTATTCTGACAAACCAAAACATCAGGCATATTTACCAGTTTTACTTAGATGTTTCTTTTCAGAAAGCCAGATGTTGACTGCAGAACAAAATTAGTTCCAGGGAAGAAAGATGTTTGTAATCCAAAGCTACTCAACTAGAAAATCCACATAGGGTGATTAAGGAGTAAATATGAAATAGTACCAGTGTGTGTTAGATTTTGATTTGTATGATGTTTGTTTATAAACCACAATGAGCCTGTATATCTAGAAAGTGATCTTAGACAACCCCAAAGAGAGGCAATGGCATACAACACAAAAAAATGCATTTCATTTGTTGACAACTGATAACTGGAAAGAAAACTAAGGCTCCCCTGTGTCATTTCTACAGCCCTATTTGATGCTGCTAACATCCCTCTTGTGCTTTGATTGTCATGATTCCAGGAAATGATGGATATAGTAAAGGCAATTTATGACATGATGGGCAAATACACCTACCCAGTGCTGAAAGAAGATGCTCCAAGGCAGCATGTAGAAGTATTCTTCCAGGTAATTTCACGTTCCCCAGTGGACTTTTCTCCTTGCTGTTTAAGCTTTTGGAGACTATATTTTCATTTTGTATATTGTTTGGGTAGTAAATTCTGTCTAAATCTGCAAAACTGCACAATTTTAAGCACTGTCAGTTTTGTATAGCACTGCATTTTACAGAGTTTTATGTGTTATGAATTTATTTTTGTATTTTACAGAAAATGGATAAAAACAAAGATGGGGTTGTAACTCTGGATGAGTTTATTGAGTCATGTCAAGAGGTAAGGATTGACTTCTTTGTGCAGTAAAGTGAAGAGATTGTCTCATATTTGCTTTGATTTCAGTTCATCCAAATGCAGTCGCACAGCACTTAGAGCTGAAGTTTGTGAAGATGGAGGTGTAGACGTGTACGTAGAGAAGAGCATAATGTTTAAGGACTGTGTGCATTGACTGAAAATTAACTACACTGAAAGCCCAGAATATGCCCTGGAAAAGTCCAAACAGTTTTGCTAAACTGAGAAGATATACAAATCTTCTAAAATTGGGTTTCTCCAAAGACAAAACCTACAGGTGTTAATCCTGGAAAGCAGGTGTTTCTGCTGTTCTGCTTCTAGAAATTTTGGCTATGACCATACTAAAGTTGGGAGAGGTTGAATGAAACAATAATTTGTCTGGGGAGGGAGTACATTGAACCCCTTTTTTAAAATAAAGTAGTACAAAATTTGCTCGATGAACTTCTTACTAGTCCTGCTTGTACAAGTGTGCTGAAAGTACAGGTACAACAATACTGAAAATTCTTTCCCAGGTCATTTGCCCATCCTCCAGAGCAACTCATGATTGCTCAGCAGATCACCCTGCAGTCAGCATGGCTTCATTTGCAATCACTATGGCTTAATTCGGCTGAACAAAGAATGTAGTAGCATCATTTTATTTTGTTCATAATTGGTTTGGAGCTGCGGTGGCTCAAGTGGTTAAGACGCTGAACTTCAGGCTGTGAAAGGTTGGTAGTTCAGCAGTTCAAGACCCGAGTGTGCCGCAAGACGGAGTGAGCTCCCATCTCTAGTTCCAGCTCCTGCCAACCTAGCAGTTCGAAAGCAAGAAATTGCAAGTAGATAAATAGGTACCGCTTCAGTGGGAAGGTAACAGCGTTCCATGCGCCTTGATGTTTAGTCATGCCGGCCACATGACCACGGAAACGTCTTCGGACAGCGCTGGCTCTTTGGCTTTGAAACGGAGATGAGCACCGCAACCCTAGAGTCGGACTGGCTTTCGAGCAAGGGAACCTTTACCTTTACCTTTACTAACAGTGCAATCCTATGGAGGGCTACACGTCTAAGCCTATAGGATGGTGAAAATGTAGCAATTCAAGAAAAACACTATTGTATATCTCTAAAATATTATCCAGATATAGCTATGTTGAAAATCAGCCTCTTATGTAGAAATGAAGGGAAAGTGGCTTTTTTGATCCTTACGCTTGTGGAAGTTTGAAAATATCAGTATGATCTCTCTTCACATACTTCTATACTAATGTGAGCTCTCAAAGTATCAAGATAATACTTTTAAAGGTGGAGATAAAATTAAACACGGAAGATTCCAGATCTATTGAAGTTAATTCAATTTAATGGGATCCTAATGTCTTTTCTCTTAAACATTTCCAAAATTGCTTGTAGTAAATGCCCAGTGTTCTATTTTTCTGCAGCAAAGCAGCACAAAGAAGGTTTGACTTGAACTACAGATCTGCCACTGAAGGGAGTTTTTTAACTGTTCCTCAGACTGCTTCTTCTTCATACAAATTCCCTCATCCTTTGCTGCATCATAGAGCAGAATTGAACCAGCAGGGCTTTATTACAAGCTTTTGCTTGTAACTTTTAGTTAGGCTCAAGGTGGATGATTCATTTGTGGCTGCTACTATTTCTGTACTTACAGCTTTAATTCAGGGCTGCCACTATGAAGGGAGGTCTTCCACCAGCAGCCCTCTTTGTCCTCCACTGCTCTGAGGGGCAGCAAGAGAGAAAAAAATAAAAGGTCTATGAAGACCTACAACACCTCCTAGAACTAACACCAAAAAAAGATGTCCTCATCATCATAGGGGCCTGGAATGCTAAACTAGGAAGTCAAAAGGTAATCAGAATAACAGAAAAGTCTGGCCTTGGAGAACAAAATGAAGCAGGGCAAAGACTAACAGAGTTTTGTCAAGAGAACATGCTGGTCATAGCGAGCACACTCTTCCAACAACCTAAGAGGCGACTCTACACATGAACATCCCCAGATGGACAACACCAAAATCAGATCAACTATATCATTTTTAGTCAAAGATGGAGAAGCTCCATACAGTCAGTAAAAACAAGACTTGGAGCTGACTGGCTCAAATCATGAACTACTCATTGCAAAATTCAGACTTAAAGTTGGGGAAACCCCTAGGCCATTCAGGTTTGATCTAGATCACATCCCTTATGAATATACAGTGGAGGTGAAGAATAGGTTTAAGAGACTAGATTTCATAGATAGAGTGCCTGAACAACTATGGACATTTGTGACATTGTACAGGAGGCAGCAATCAGCACCATCCCAAAGAAAAAGAAATGCAAGAAAGCAAAGTGGCTGTCTGATGAGGCTTTACAAATAGCAGAGGAAAGAAGGAAAGTGAAAGGCAAAGGCGAAAAGGAAAGATTTACCCAACTGAATGCAGATTTCCAGAGAACAGCAAGGAGAGATAAGGAGGCCTTCCTGAATGAACAGTGCAAAGTAATAGAAGAAAACAATAGAATGGGAAGGACTAGAGATCTCTTCAAGAAAATTGGAGAAATCAAGGGAACGTTCCATGCAAAGCTGGCCATGATAAAGGACAAAAACGGTAGGGACCTAACAGAAGCAGAAGAGATTAGGAAAAGATGGCAAGAATACACAGAAGAACTATACAAGAAAGACCTCAATGTCCTTGACAAACACGACGGTATAATCACTGACCTTGAGCCAGACATCCTGGAATGTGAAGTGAAATGGGCCTTAGAAAGCATTGCTAACAACAAAGCTAGTGGAGGTGATGGTATTCCAGCTGAACTATTCAAAGTCTTAGAAGATGATGCTGTTAAAGTGCTGCACTCCATTTGCCAGCAAATTTGGAAAACGCAACAGTGGCCACAGGATTGGAAAAGATCAGTATACATTCCAATCCCAAAGAAGGGCAATGCCAAGGAATGTTCAAACTATCGCACAATTGCACTCATATCACACGCTAGCAAGGTCATGCTCAAGATCCTACAAGCTAGGCTTCAACAGTACATGGATAGAGAACTGCCAGAAGTACAAGCTGGGTTTCGAAGAGGTAGAGGAACTAGAGATCAAATTGCCAACATTCGCTGGATTATGGAGAAAGCAAGAGAGTACCAGAAAAACATCTACTTCTGCTTCATTGACTATGCTAAAGCCTTTGACTGTGTGGATCACAACAAACTATGGCAGGTCCTTAAAGAGATGGGAGTACCAGACCACCTCACATGTCTCTTGAGAAACCTGTATAAGGGCCAAGAAGCGACAGTTAGAACCGGATACGGAACAACTGATTGGTTCAGCATAGGAAAAGGAGAGTACGACAAGGATGTATATTGTCATCTTGCTTATTAATTTATATGCAGCACATACCATGTGAAATGCTGGCCTGCATGAATCACAAGCCGGAATTAAGATTGCTGGGAAAATATCAACAACTTCAGATATGCAGATGATACCACTCTAATGGCAGAAAGTGAAGAGGATCCTAACTGTTCCCTGGAAGGCCAGATACTGAACCTGAAGCTCTATTACTTTGGCCACCAAATGAGAAGGGAGCACTCACTGGAGAAGACCCTAGTGCTGGGAAAGATTGAAGGTCAAAGAAGAAGGGGACAGCAAAGGATTAGATGGTTAGACAGTGTCATAGATACAACGAACATGATATTAAGCAAACTCCGGAGCATGACGGAAGACAGCAGGGCCTGGCGTGATGTGGTCCATGGGGTCGCAAAGAGTCGGACTCGACTGTGCGACTGAACAACAACAAAAAATGAGTACATATAATCAGAACCTTAATTTATTTTACATTCCTTCCCCATGACATATTTAGAATGATATGACAGAAGATAATTTAGTTTGCCTAATGATATACCAGAGAACTTATTAAGGGAATAAAAAACCCAGTACTTAATTGACTCTGATCTTATTGTCATTTTTACATGAATCCCACAATCTGTTTTTCCCCACCCACCAAGACCACAATCTCGGTTACATGGGAGGACAAAACCCACAAATCACAATGCAACATGAATATTCCATAACAAACAACACACACACACTGTTGTATAATCACAATTGAGGATTCAACTCTGAAACACTAGATCTGAATACAACCTTAGTTAAGCTAATCAACTGTTTTATTATTTGTCTGTTGTAAACCACATCTAGGTAGAACATTGGCACTCCTGGATAAGATTATAAAATACTCACAGGTTTTCTAGATCAGTTTCACAAATCACCTTACTTCACACAGTGTAGTGAAGGGGGCCAAATGCATCAAAATAGATGAAGGGGAGAAAAGGCAACACTGAGAAGAAGTGCAGGACATTCAAGTTTGGACACACGAGGTCAGTGAAATGTTGCATGTCACATGTAAATAAATAAAAAAAATAAATTCAAGTTTGGACACACAAGGTCAGTGAAATGTTGCACAAGGTCAGTGAAATGGGAGTGGGATTAGGTGAATGGAGGAAAGGGCAGGAATTCATGCCGGCCAGAACAATAAACATACTTAGAAATCATTGTTCTATATGATATGAAAATAGCAGTGCAGTTAACACTATTCCAAAGCATGTAAAATTATACCCATAATGGGACATGAGAGCAAGAACATGAATAACAAACCCAGTGTATGTAAATGCCTATGTTACTATGTACATTTCATGTGATCCATTAGGCTAAAATGGAGTAGACTAGTCATTTGAATGGAACCTACTAATGAACTCACATTCATAGGCTCTTGCTACTGGTGATTCTATGCAAATTGGGGTGCTACATAGCACTTCTGATTCACTCCCATGTTACAGTTTGCATATTGGGCACTCTGTGAACTGGGCCACAGGTACCTTCAGCTTTATTTGCAGAACTTGCAAAAGTCTATCTCCACTACAACAGGCTTTTTTCGTTGTGTGGCTTGGCAGAACTGTTTCTGTATGCAATATAAATATTCATGGTTTATTTTCTCCTTCTAGGATGACAATATCATGAGATCCTTACAGCTTTTTGAAAATGTCATGTAACAGCAGCTGAAGAACAGCGTAGGAATCTGGGACTTTGTATGTAATGAGACCCTGAAGAAAATGAGTCAAGATTTTTCTCCCTGCCACCTTTCTTGAAGCTTTTTACTACTTGGACATGCTCAGCGTGTAAGGATTTTGTATGCCATCACAAACTGAGCTGTGTCTCTGAATGCAACAAACTCCGTCTCGCCTCCCTCAAGAGACACTGATTAGAATTTATTTCATTTGAAAGCATGCTAAATTAATAAAAAGCTGGCCAGAGAGACCTGCTGCTTAAAGTTTAATCAGTTATTGAAGTTTAAATGATTAAAACAATATTCAGTGTTCTGTTTGCTAATCACAAAACTTTCGGCTGTTTTTGCTATAGCAAGGTGGATTGCACATGGCACCATAGCATCAGTAGCTTGCTTTACCATCCCTTGTGAGCTGGGGGGAAAATCCCATCACAAGACAAAAATGTGATGCTAATATTTTGCTTTGACAGCAAGCAGTAGGTTGGCAAAGCTCTTGCTACTTTGGCCAACTGCTGCCATTATAATTAGGTAAATTGAGGGCTGAATTAATGTAGGATCTGTTCAGATTATCAGTTTATAATGCAACAAGTGCTCGGTGGAAGCTCCCTTGTAGCACAGGAATCAGATTTCCTCCTTCCAGGCAGAACTTCTTGTACAGTGATAGTGCATTTTCCTGGCTCTCAACCCACAAAAAGAAAGTAATGCATTTATTTGCCCTTCTAGCAAAGCTACTGTGGGTTTTTCCACATTCTCATTTTTCTTGCTTGTAAGTTCCTGTTTCTTTGGGGTGAGGGTTGTGTTCCACACATTTTGCTCCCTATAGTGGTACATTCAATATTGCATTGGTTTATGTCTGACATTTAAAAATCTGCATTTTAAATCTGCAGGGAGATATGCTGGACATAACTGATGTACTATCAAATCAACCACTAGATGGAGCAAAATATATGCTTAACAGGAAAAAAAAATCCAAATGAGAATGCAGAAAAGCCCTGTGTCTTGGAGGACTGTCAGAATTTGGTTGTGTAATTGCCATGGTAGCTAGCTGTTTAGTGTCTGTGAAATCACTAATGACAAGCAATTCATGTGGTGACTCTTATACCCACAGTTGGTCTTCATAGAGGGGTCTCATTATGGAGCTGAAATGGACTTTTCACAAGACAAAATATTCAGAAACCTCCAGTCAGTTTCACAGTTACCACTACCACCAGTCTCACCCCTGCATTAAATCTTCACATTTTGCATGGAGGTCAGACTCCACTGAGGGGAGAAGAGCTTGAGCTTGAGAGGATAGACCAATGCAGTATGGAGCCAGAACTTCAAGCTCATCTTGTATTCCTTCTGTAGGCCAAATGCTCTCCATACAATGGAGCATTATTTTCTGAAATGGTGAGGGATATGTATTTATTTATTTCAGTCATTTAGTACCCCATTTTTCTTCCTGATAAAGACTCAAAGCAATTTTCAAAAGTACCTAATTCAAACAAACAACAGTTTAAACTAACAAGATACTAGTGATAGCAGCCCAAAGGAAAACACCAAGAATAGAATCTCTACAGCAAGGCTATCCACATACACCCCTCTACTAAGATTTAACATTGTTCTACTTTGTTTGAGTTGGGATTTGCAGATCTATCTAGACAAAGGAAGAACACAATAGGGGCATACTTATCAGTATCAGGGGAAACACTGATGCATTACTTACCCATTTTTGCTCACAGAAACTCATAGTGGTTTTCTCTCTCTGACTTATTCCAGTGAAGTTTTTCATAATTAATTTGAGTCAAAGAAGTTGTTTGTTAAATAAAAAGAGACTGTGCTTTTGTAGGAAGGTCTGCAATGTATTCCCCTAAACAGAGAAGGGGTTATTTGCCCTATTGCTTTGATTGGCCTGAAAAGTGCATAGTCAAGTCCTGAGCATTGAAAGTATTTTAAGAGAATGAAACTTTAAAAGCATACTCTTCGTAATCACTCACTACACAGCAGTGAAGTGGGGTCAGTGTAGAGCACTGGATATTGTTTTATATTTTAACATGGACCTCTGGATTGTCCGCCTAACATGGGTCTGAAGAAAATGCCCCACCCAAATGAACTGAGATCACCCAGAAGTGGTCCTTTGTTTATCTTGCATTTAACTTTCCAGCAAAAAAGCAAGCATCACTCTCTCTAAAGTGAAACAAAGTTATTTGGAATGTTGCCATTTTAAACTTCACAAGTAGTTTACAAGTAAGATGTTCCCCAGTGTACAAAATTCCAAGGTATGTGTGACCAGAATCCTGTCGTTGATTTCATTTAGCTTGAGAATGCCAGGTTTTAAAACCATGTCTATGGGCACTTTCAGGGCTTTTCTGCATGCCCCCCCCCATTAGTTCTGGCCCCATACTGCTTTGGTTTATCCTCTCATTTCTGCTTTCATCTTTGTGCCTTTAGTTTTTGTTTCTTTTTTGTTTGTTTTGTTTCCCCCCCTTTTTCCCCCAGTTCTTTTGAGACCACTTTTACCCCTATCATTTTCTGGAGGTGGATTTTTAGTCACCATTTTTGTTGTGCATAATGTTTCTTTGGGTTTTCTTTGTCCCACCTACCTCCAGCCCACTTTTCAGTGATTGGACTCATAATTCTCAAACCACTCCCTCTCCTCCCCCCAACCTGAAGATATTATTTTCTTAAAGGGCACTAAAATATCGATGCATTGATAAAATGTTGTAGAGATAGGTCAAGCAGGTTCTCTGAATTCCCAGCTTCCATTATGGATTATACTACTTGTGCCTTTTACCAGCCCAAATGAGTTCACATCAGTACATCCAGTATAAGAGATCTGTACTCTTGAACCCAAGAATTTTTAGCAGGGTATAAGGACCACCTGCGATTATGTGTGTTCCTGGCTAAGTTGTTGATATGGAATTATAAGTAACAGGACATTAAGTATTAATAGAACTGGATCTCTATTGGAAGTTCTTATTTTAGAAGAAAAGCAAGATGTAAGTTTTTAAATAAATAAAATAAAAATGAAGTTTAAGAATCAGGATTGGACCCACATGTTTGCAGAAGTGCCACATGTTTGCAAAGAGTGCTAGCGAAGATCATTTCCTAAACAGGTGACTAATAGATAAAAGAAATCAGGAAGGGCAGCAATGAGTGACTTGAATTACATGGCAACCTTTACGTCTGCCAGACTTCCATGAAGGCTCTACATATATTTTTTACAAACAGGTGACATGTTATTATTGGCAATGAAAATATATTTTAAATAAGGCATTAATAGTTCTATATTTTATAGAGTACATTAATTGTAACACCTAACCATATATATAAATCTATGTAGCACATGCTAATGTAACTGGATATGTGATATGATGGGCTTCTCCTCATAGGATACTGCCCTTGAGATCCTTTCGGAACATTGTTCCTGCCTCCAGTTCCTAATTGTCCCTCCTGTTTCCCAGCTTAATCTTTACCCGCTGCTAAGTTTCTCCCCAAGATCCACTGACTTGTTCCAGGTTTTCACACCACGACCCACCAATAAGATACCATGCACACAACTGGGCATTGTGCATGTGATTGTCCTCTTTTAACTAGCATCTAGAACTTTGTGTTTGCAGTCCTTGTTAATAAACAAAAGTTGTGCCAATTAACTTCTTTAGGAGATGGGATGAGGCCTGGATTCTGTTTCCCTCACCCTTCATTGCTAAATAACTGTTTAGCAGGATTTTATCATACTATTTTAACTCTGTGAAAAAAAACTTCTACAATTATATTTGGGATATGCTTACTATCCCAAGCCATATTTCAATCTTGGGGTAGTCAAATTTACCTCCCTAAAAAAAATGTGTTTAAGAGCAGAAATCAATATGCTTCATAACACCCAGAGCCTTTTTCAAACATACAGAACCTTGATAGACACTTTCACGTGACATGGAATATTTTTGTTGTTTAATTCTCCCTTCCCTTTTCATATTTACTAACTTCTATGGAATATTATGAGGTCATCTTTCTATGAAGAGATGAGGGATCTTCCTCTTCAGGGCACTTAATAATATTATACAAATATGTATAAGGTGCCGAAAAGGTCAGTGCATGGACAGCAGCATCATAATTAGTTCTTTAAAAAATATTGGATACTCTTGCTGTGCCAGTCAAATTCTGGGATGATTCATCCTGGAGAATCAATCACTTATTCAGAAGCACATCAGTATATTCTCTAAACCAGCACTCTGTTGTGAAAGAACAAATAGACCAAAATGACCCTATAACACTTTACAGTACTTTTTCTCAAAGTGCCCCCTCCCAATGACATCTATTGAGTAGGAAAACACACAGCATCCTCACTGTTATGTGTGTAAGGAACTAAAGTGAGATACTAATCCAACAATGGCATTAGATGAAAACTAGAAGAGGGTATCTCATTACCCCCCCCCAACACCAAGCAACTGCGGAGTACTTCATTAGGTCCAAATGCTCTGATGTGTTTTCTGTCTCTCTGTAATTTCCATATCAAACAATTAAGATATCAGATCTGGTAGCTGCAATGGAAACCTATGCTGTTAGTAGGAAAGTGTCTATAACTTTCTCTACCATAGGTTCTGCTCCCTCACTGCTTCTTCACACAGCCCATTAGGTGTCTTGTGAAAGAAATGAACTGTGGAAGAAATGAAATGACCAGCAAACCACCTGCAGTGTAGTTTACCCTTCTGATGTCTTTGTACCAGTCGTGGATGATGTAGACCAGTTTCCCTAGAGAAAAATGGCTGCTTTGGAGGGTGGACTCACATCCCTAGTGAGCTCCCTTTCCTTCCCAAACTCTGCTCTCCCAGGCTCTGTCCCCAAATCTCCAGGAATTTTCCTTGGAGCTGGCAACCCCATCTTCTCCGTTCACTTTAGAAAATGGCTGTTTCAAAGGGTGAACTGTATGGCATCACATCACCAGTGAGCTCCCTCCTTTCCCCTAACTTTGCCATCCCCACGTTCCACCTCCAGATCTCCAGGAAT